GGAATGCTGGCGGCGTACGAATAGTGCTGGCAATAGGGCAGAACGAAGCAATAGCCGATCCCACGGTGGTTTCGGGTACGTTTCTCCTCAACAACATTTATGCATGCATACTCTTTGACTGTGGTGCGAAGAGAAGTTTCGTGAGCCATAAATTCAAACACTTACTTAATCAAAAACCCCAATCACTCAATAAGATATTTACAGTAGAAATGGCAAACGGTAAAATAGAAAGCACAAACGATTTGTATGTAGGCTGCACACTAGCTCTAAATGAACACTTTTTCCAAATCGATCTAATGCCGATCACTATAAGAAGCTTTGATGTCATCATCGGTATGGATTGGTTAAGCCTTCACCATGCCGATATTCTGTGTCACGAAAGGGTCGTTCATCTTAATCTGCTAAGCGGCGAAACTCTCAGCAAAGGATTCATCAGGCCGAGCTTCTCACCTTGGGGAGCACCGGTTCTGTTCGTAAAGAAGAAGGATGGATCTTTTCGCATGTGCATCGATTACTGGGAACTGAACAAGCTCACGATCAAGAACCATATCCCTTGGCACGCATAGACAATCTTTTCGACCAACTACAAGGAGCGACCTACTTCTCAAAGATCGATTTAAGATCTGGGTATCACCAGCTGCGAGTCCTGGAAGGAGACGTTCCCAAAACGGCATTCCGAACTCGCTATGGTCACTACGAGTTTGTAGTGATGCCCTTCAGATTGACAAATGCACCGGTGGTGTTCATGGACTTGATGAACCGAGTATGTCGTCATTTCCTGGACAAATTCGTGATCGTGTTCATAGATGTTATACTCATCTATTCAAGGAGTAAAGAGGAACATAGCCAACACCTCCGACAGGTCTTGGAAACATTAAGGACAGAGAAGCTATACACGAAATTCTCAAAGTGCGAATTTTGGATTCGGAAAGTAGATTTCCTAGGTCACGTGGTCAGCAAAGAAGGGATACACGTGGACCCTTCCAAAATCAAGGCAATCAAGAACTGGTCAACTCCAAGGACTCCAACGGAAATCCGACGATTCTTGGGCCTTCCTGGGTATTACCGAAGGTTCATACAAAACTTTTCGAAGATTGCTAATCCACTTACCACCCTGACTCAGAAAGGCGTAACCTTCAGTTGGGGAGAAAAACAAGACGCTGCGTTCCAAACACTGAAGCGAGCCTTATACAGCGCACCTATATTATCTTTGCCAGAAGGAACAGAAGACTTTGTGGTCTACTGTGATGCGTCGAACCAGGGCCTTGGATGTGTTCTAATGCAACGAGGAAAGGTCATCGCATACGCCTTGAGGCAGCTCAAGACGCATGAGGTCAACTACACTACGCACGATCTCGAACTGGGAGCAGTCGTTTTCGCTCTAAAGATCTGGAGACAATATCTCTACGGCACGAAATGTACAATCTTCACCGATCATAAGATCCTTCAGCACATCCTCAATCAAAAGGAACTCAACATGAGGCAAAGACGGTGGGTAGAACTACTAAACGATTACGAATGCGAAATTCGTTATCATCCCGGAAAAGCTAATGTAGTAGCTGAGGCCCTCAGCTGAAAGGAATACTCGGGCCGCTGAGTGAAATCCTTAACCATGACGATCCATTCACACCTGTCCACACAAATCAAGGAAGCTCAAATAGAAGCCTTGAAATCCGAAAATGTGGCGAGTGAAGCCTTAAGAGGAATGGATAAGAATCTTGAAGTCAAGGATGACGGAGTTCGTTACCTCATGAATCGGATCTGGACGCCGAAGTTTGGCGGATTCAGAGATGTTGTCATGAATGAGGCCCATAAGACTCGATACTCCGTACATCCCGGTTCAGACAAGATGTATCTGGATCTCAAGAAACTGTATTGGTGGCCAAACATGAAAGCCGAAATCGCTACCTATGTAGGCAAATGTCTGACTTGCCCCAAAGTCAAGGTAGAGTACCAAAAGCCCTCGGGATTGTTACAACAACCTGAAATACCCGAGTGGAAGTGGGAGTGGATAACCATGGATTTCATAACCAAATTACCCAAGATAGCGAGTGGACTTGACACCATCTGGGTGATCGTCGACAGGTTAACCAAATCCACACACTTCCTACCAATAAAGGAAACAGACAAGATGTAGAAAGTAACTAGAACATACATCAGGGAGATTGTACGACTGCAAGGTGTACCGATATCCATTATCTCGGACAGAGATTGTAGACTCACCTCGCGGTTCTGGCAGTCATTACAAAAATCCCTAGAAACGAGACTAGACATGAGTACCGCCTACCACCCATAAACCGACGGACAGAGTGAGAGAACCATTCAAAAACTTAGAAGATATGCTAAGAGCTTGTGTGATCGATTTTGGTAAGGCTTGGGATACCCATTTACCATTGGTTGAGTTCTCGTACAACAATAACTATCACACTAGCATCAAGGTTGCTCCATTCGAAGCCCTCTATGCCCGTAAGTGCAGATCACCTCTGTGCTGGGCTGAAGTGGGTGGCACGCAACTAGCTAGAGGACAAGTACCTAACAACACTCTCACTGGCCCAGAAATCATAAGGGAAACTACCGAGAAAATTGTCCAAATCCGAGAACGATTAAAAGCTTCAAGAGACAGACAAAAGAGTTATGCAAACAAAAGACGGAAACCCTTGGAATTCCTGGTTGGGGACCGAGTACTATTGAAAGTCTCACCCTGGAAGGGATTAATACGTTTTGGAAAACATGGGAAACTAAACCCAAGGTATATCGGACCCTTCGAGATCCTTTCCAGGATTGGCCCGGTAGCATACAAACTTCGATTACCGCAGGAACTCAATAACGTACACCCTACCTTTCACGTGTCAAACCTGAAGAAATGCCATTCCGATAAGACCCTCGTCATCCCTCTGGACGAAATTGAAATCAACGAGAGTCTCCATTTCGTAGAAGAGCCAGTAGAAATCATGGATCGAGAAATTAAAAGAACAAAACAAAGTCACATACCCATTGTGAAGGTCCGTTGGAATGCCAAGCGAGGACCTGAATACACCTGGGAGCGCGAAGATCAGATGAAACAAAAATACCCGCATCTTTTCCCTAGTCCATAAATACTTAGTGTAGAATTAATTTCGGGACGAAATTCCCTCTAACGGAGGGATGATGTGGCAACCCGATATTTAAAGTCAATGTAATGTTCTAAAGTCAAGTATTGTAATCTATTTATGATATAATAAAGAAATAGCATCAAAAATGAAATGTTCAAAAGTCTCAATTAGGATACATAAAATGTTAGATATCGTGACAAGGTTTTCAGAAATATAAAGATCACTCAAATCCGAGTTATAACTAAGAAGTTATGACCAATCAAAGATCCACGACAAAACCGGTAAAACACTGTTAAGCGTAAAAAGTGAAATTTCAATAAAATACTTTTTAGCCTTAAGTATCTACAAAAAAGTCATAGATAATAACAAACCGTGAGCGTACATAAAAAGAACGTCCAAATCTGACTTCGTATGAGGAAGTCATAGATAATAACAAACCCAGCGTACGTACGAGGAACGCCCTGCGTTCTTCGGAGTACGCCCAACATACGAGACCAGCCTCCACCCCTATAAATAAGATGTGATGGTTCCGAATTCTTTTGCTAATTTACACCATTTCTCTCCCATTTTCTCACTTTCGAGCCTTTCGAAGATACCCCGACGCCCCGGTTCCGTATCCAAGTTCCGAAGAAGGTCCGAAGCTCCGAGATTCCTGAAAAATTTACCACTTTCCGGTCGAAGTGCTGCCCGAGAAAAATTTCGTTTTCTTCAAATCACCACACTTTCCAGGTGAGTTCATACCCCTTTATTTTCACATTTTTACTATACTTTAGGGGGGGGGGGGGAAATACAAGTGAAACACAAGAAAAACTTATGTGAAAATACAAATCGTTACATAGGGTTCCAGATGCTTCATCTACATTTTTGTTTATAAATGTTAAACAATATTACTACCAATGTCACACTTTACATGCGAAGTTAGTAATGCACCAAGTTTTATCATTTTAATGGAACACATTTTCGAAAAACTATAATAGGCATAGTTTACGAGTTATTCATGACATTTTAACATACTGTAAACACTATAAAGAGGAAATACCTACATATACAAGAAAGATGGACTTTTCATTTCGTAAATCTATTGATACTAAATTTTGTGAGACATTTGACTTCACCGTACTTTCAAGTACGCATTTCAAGTCCTTTATTATAAACCATAATCTCTTGTAGGGAGAGCGTGATACTTGTGTATAGATCTATACGGGACTGACATTCCCGCACCTAAACTGTTAGCTACAGTTAGACCGGCAGGTCTAGGGTGACAAACGTCATAACACTTCAACGCCTGAAGAACGTTGTTACAGGCAGTCTGGGTCAATAACATGGTTATAAAACTCACATGAAGCATCAAAACATTTTGATTTACGGGGCTATCAAATGCATTAGTGAATATATATACATATATAAACCTACTTACACTATTTTCGGTATGAAAAATACTTATGCATTCCAGTCTTTAGAACTTTTCAAACTACCACACATACATGGAAAATATTGGATTTTCTAGAAACAAGCTCAATTATTTTATACAAAAAGACATATAACGCAAAAACGCTTATGAACTCACCAACTTAACTGTTGACACTTATTCAAAACTACTTGTATTTCTCAGGGATTCAGTAATACAGGTAAAACATCAGCTTTTAGAGAAGGGACGCTAAGGCATCAGTTTTCAAACTTATTAAATCATCATATTGTAATTTATTTTGAGACATGTATCACATGCAACAATGTAACTTTTAAATTATATTTATGATGGTTGTGTTTACTTCCTTTACAAATATTCAACTGTTATGATACTATATGAAGTCATCCACCCCCGAATGTTTCCGCCATTCTGGTTTGGGGGTGTGACACCTGCTGCCGCCATGCGCCACCTCCTTCCTATACCTTCATCCGTCACCATCTATGTCGGAACCGAAGAGCCATCGAGTCGAGTATCCCTTGTCACCGACAGATGACCACCTGGCGGGTGTCGTTGCCGCCATTGTTGAAGACGCTGGCACCATCGCTGCTGCTGTTCCGCCGACGACAGCGACCAGAAGAAGCCGCCGTCCTTCTCCTCCTCTTCTATTCGTTAACCACCACGGAAGCCCTCTAGACGCCGCCGCCATCCGATTAACTGCCGCCCAACGATGTCGAGGACGGCCGGAGAAACCCCCTTTGTGATCGAGATCGGAGTTGTGGTTGAGTGTGCCTGTGTTTCTGTCAAAAGGAGGGGTCAAGAAGAACCACCATGGTGGTCAGCCATGGTGGTTGCCGCTAATAACGGACCTGCTGCCGCCGTGTGCCATCTGCTGCCGCCATGCGCCACCACCGGCCACCACAAGGTGGCTGTGTGTGTGTGTGTTATTTATGAGTGTGTGTAGCTTAGTGTGTGTGTGTGTGTGTGCGTGTTTTAGTTGGATTGAGTTGTAAATTCTAAATGGTGCCCAGAATAATAATAGAAAATCCATAACCACCACCGTGAGGTGGTGGCTACCACCACCGGCCGCCGTGTCGGGTGGCAATATGCCTTGTTTGCGTTTGGACCTCGTTTGGGGGATGTTTGGACAATGTGGGACCAATGAAACCCTAATGGGCCCAAAGAAACCCTAGTGGGCCCAATGGAACCCTAAGGGGCCAATAAGGCCCAATGTGACCTAAAAGCCCAACCAATGGACTAATGAGCTAGTATTGGGTTGGAAAAACCCTAATTAGGGTTTGGAAAACCCTAAGAGCATAAAAACCCTAAATGTGGGAATTGCTTGGGACACGCACGAGAATTAATTATTAAACCTAAAATAATAATTAATAATCATTGGCAAACTAACTTAAGGTAAGAATGGGCTTGGACTTATCGGGACCCACATTTGGGCCATTGGAATGGAATTGTGCATTAAGCCCCAATCACACCATATGAATTATGTAGTAAAGTGAGGGACTTAATGGATTAAGTTCTTAATGGGTTAAGTGAGAAACACTTAACCCTAATTGTCCTTTCATGTGAAAACCCTAATTTCACTTGGGCCTTTCTATTGGGCTTGGGTGATTGGACTATTAATGGGTTTTCCAAGAATAAGTAAATGGACTAAAATAATTGGATGAGCCTTAGGATAAGGCCCATGTGAAGGACTTGGGCCCAATTTGGAAAATTGGGCCATAGATGGGCCATAACTGGGCCTTGATGATTATGTGATATTGGGCCATGAGAATACCAAGAGTTTGGACCAGAATAATTGAATGGGCCTTAAGGATAGACCATGTTGAGGTCTGGGCCCAATTTGGAAAATTGGGCCATATGTTGGGCTTTGGCCCATTACTTGACTTTTAGACCTTTGGTGTGTGAGTTGGACCTTGGGCTTGGAACCCAATTATTATTATTAATTGGGTATTGTTTGATGTTGACAGTTCGGGAATCTATCAACCAGCAGCTGGAGTTTTATTCGCGGGACTTCAGCAGTGTCAGGTGAGTTCTCCTCACTATATCAACAGGGTCTACGGCACCAAGGTCGACCCTTTATGATTTACATCCTGGTTTAGGATGGTTGCTATGTTATTGCTATGCTAGATTTCATCCTGGTTTAGGATGGTTGCTATGTTAGATTTCATCCTGATTTAGGATGGTTGCTATGCTAGAGATCGGTTAGATCGGTATCCTAGTTATAGGATGATTGCCACGTTAGTGATATGTTAGATTTGCATGTTTACTTATTTATATGTATGTGCACATGTTTGTTGGTTTGGGGAAAAGGTTGAGGCAGGTCCTGCTGTGTGCAGTAGGCCAAGATACCCTGGGCGGACCGGGTAGACTGCATGCCCGGGCTGAGAAAATCTAGTCAGGCCGAAGGCCCAGCGAGCAGTCCGGATAGGCTGAAGGCCCCGAGGAGGGCGGTCCAAACGTGCCGAGGGCTCGGAGAGCGGTCCAGATAGACTAAGGACCGGGATTCGGTCCAGTCAGAATGATGGCTCATTATGCATGTTGTTCTGTATGGTTTGCTTATATGTTTATATGATATGGTTATATCTGTATGGCGTTGGTATTTTGGGGGTAACTCACTAAGCCTTCGAGCTTACATTTATCGAATATTGTTTCAGGTACTCCTGATGATCGCGAGAAGGTGAAGGCGTGATCGTAAACTCCTCATATTTCATGGTTTTATGATTTGATTCTGGGGATACTCTGATGATTAAACTATTTTGAAAACAAACTGTAATCACTTAATGGTTGTTAAATGTATTAAAAAGTTTTAAATTCGCTTGAATTTTATGGGTGTTACAAATATATATATATAATATATTATATATTATATATATCTATGTATATATATATATATATATATATATATATATATATATATATATTATATATATATATATATATATGAATGTTATGTTGAAATGGTTCAACATAAGGAAATTCTATGTATGTGTTAATTGCGTTCTCAAAATTCCACCATGATTACGACATTCATTTTAATAATTCGAATGATGAGAACATGACAAATAGAATTATTATAGCAAAAGATTGGTCAAGTATCATGTCTCTATGTAAGACATCATGAATCGTGTCCTGTATGCTTCAGGTATAGGATCGATTACATGTGCTATAATATTCATCCGTTCTAAATTTTCCAAATGCCTAGGGCATTAAGAGGGAAAAAGGTCTAAAACCGAATATGACTAAAATGGTTAAGCAATTGTCGAGGACAATCTGAGGTTTACCAAAGATTGGTTGCTCATGGACAATTGGAAGTATATTTTAAAATTTTGGAAAGGACCATGTTGACATACTCTGAGAAGAGGTAACTCTTGTTCAGAAGTGATAGTCAAAATGGGAATATGGAAATGTTTCCATAAGTGGAAGTTATTCTTTAAATCTGTGAAAGATTAGAAAACTTAATGCAAAAAGGATGTTCAAAGGAATGTACTTTGAATTTGAGACTTCGCTTCCATGGAATTGTTTTGCAATAATATCCAAAGGAATACTTTGTACTATCGTTGGTCAAGTCTCTGTGATGTTAGGTCCTAAAACGGATCTTTACCAATGATCAAGCAATCAAACAATCAAAAGCAATCAGAATAAGAGTAGAAGAAGAAGATCAATCAAGCTTGCACACGTTTATTGCAGTAAAACGTCTGGTACAACTCGATACAATGGACCGTGAACTCTGTGGCATCAACAACCTAACAATGAACTAGACGACCTCTATATATAGTGGACTTGGGACGCAAACAGGGTTTACGGCCGTAAACAGGTTTACGGCCGTAAACTCAATCCATGGCCGTAAACTACTAAACAACTCACCAAAACATACTAAAGACTCAAAATTAACTATTACAATGAAAGCCTAGACCAAACCATTAACTGGACCCTTCAATCTCCACCTTGGTTTGGTGCTAGCTTGGACTTAGTCTTTATCAACCACCAGCACGTCTGATTTTCCCATAGCTCCATACCACATTTCTTTTCTGATAATGTTAGCAACCATGGCAGTGTACTCCTTAGCAACGGACTCAAAAATGTCTTCAGCAACCTTGATCTGATGAAAAGAGAGCTGATGTATATCCCACTTTCCGAACTGTAGCAGATCCCTCTTGTCATATAGGCGAATACATCCATGCTCAAGCTTGATGACAGCGGAAGCTGTAGTTTTATCAAACACCTAATATTGCATGGATTTTAGAGATCCATCTGGATGGTTCTGAAGGATAGAAATTTGCTTCACTTGAGCAGTAGCGAGCCACATCATAGACCGAAGAGGCTGATTGGTTTTGGGATCAATGACACTTGGGTATATCTTGATAATAGACTCTGCAGTCTTCATTGAGGGAAAGCCCTTTGCCACTTGATCTTCCAAAAATAACTTGAAATGTGTCGCCTTGGGATCATTTGACGGATTTGCAAAAGGAGCTTTAGATAACTCTGTAAGATCAACCCTGGTCCAAGAGTGGAAGCCATGAGCATCTTTATACATTTCAGTATTGCCACTCTTCTTCTCACGATCCACATATTTAGAGTGTCGTGGAATCCCCATGAGATGATCCCTGACCTATCACCATATACGTCCCTGAAGCGATTCTCTCCAAGATCCGTAAAGGTGATGTTTGATAGATCCCCGGGAGCATTCTGATCCGAGCTCATTTTGAACAAAAACTGACCCTTCTCAGCAGACTTGGCCAGTTTACCACGTTTTAACGCCACGACATTCGGAGCCTGTGCTGGTTCTTTGTCAAAACGATCTACAACAGTGGTTGTTCTTGTAGGTGGTGGATCTATGGGAGCATCTTGATTGGGAAGATATATCTTTGGCTCATCGACAGATGACTTGAATTTGTCGCCAAATACTTCTTCCAGCTTCTTCTTTAGATCGTAGTAGCTGGCGGTCAACAAACCAAAATGCGTCTGAAGATCAGTGATCTGATTTGTCTTCAGAGCTTTGTCTTCAAGAAGATCAGCAACTTGGATATTGAGCTTGGCATTTTCAGTTTGAAGGTCTGTCACCCTGATATCAAGCTCTATATTTTTTTTATTCAGCACACCGATCTCCTTCTGAAGTCCAAGGATTGTAGGATTTCTTCTCCAGAGCTACCATCCCCAATAGATATTCCTTTACCACGTGAGGGAGGCGTTGTGAATTGTTATTCAGCCAAGTGCATGGCTAGCCTCACAAAAGCAACATCATGATCTGGCCTGGGAGGAGAGAATCCTGTGGGGAAAGAAGAACCACCAGCTTCATAAAAGGTGCTAGGACCTTCATTGAGAGGTTCTGATGAGACGATAGCAGGAGTGGTTGTTGGTGGAATTGAAACGCCTTGAAGTGGGCCAGGAATAAGAATTCCTTGTCTTGGGTCAAGTCTTCTTCTTTTTATGGGAGGTTGAGAGGTTTGTGTTGTTGTGCGATCACTTTCAAGTGGCTCTGATGTAGGTGAAACAACATCAAGGGGAGGAATCCCTGATACTGTCACCATAGGAATTGCTGTTTTCGCCACTTGATTGGTAGAAGGAGGCGTGGTTTCAAGAACGTCTTCAGTCTCCCTTATCTCCGTTGCTAGATGAACAACTTCATTGATATTGTCAAATATCGTGTTGAGGTTTTCACCGGTCATGAAGTCTTCATTACTACCAAAATTTAAAGGAATTTCATCCTTATCGAACCCAGTAAGATCGAGGTCTTCATACAAATCAG